GCACTGCAGAGGTGGCACGGAACTTTCATCTGAATTGGTAACCCTAACACTAATGTTTTATTATTATTATTTTATTATAGAAAATATGATGGAAAAATAAAACGATGCTTTTAAATATGACACTAGGTGGCAGTCACTGAATCATTTATTCAAACGATTCCTTCGAAGCAGCTGATTCGTTCAGTTCCGCTGTAGCTTTGTTTGGAGCTGTTTTCTTGCAGAAAGAGCAAAAATCGTGACTGAAATGCAGTTCAATTAATATTAACTTGTTTGTATAAAATCAGTATCATGCTTGCAATTGTGCTCATATTCCTGAAAACAGCTCTCTTGCTCTTGACATATTGCTTAATTATATGTTAATCATATTGTATAATATAAAAACAAGATCTCATACTTTTTTTTTAATTATATCTTGAAATTTTGGGGTAATTGAATTAATTTTGATGATATTTTTGACACAACTCCCCATTAAATTCTGACCCGGCAAAACAGTATTTAAAGTAATCGTATTAGAAATAAGTTATTGATTGCATTTGGTGCATGATAAATACACAGATGGAGCTTGTGACCTGAAATGAAGTGTGAGATGTGTGAAATGAAGGCGTACACCGGTGATGTGGGGAAGACGAGTGAAAGCTGACTCCTTTCACACACAAACACTGTGGAGAAGAAGAGTGTTTCTGAGCAGCAGATGTGTGGATGCTCTTTGTCGTGTTTAAGTGCTTCAGCGCAGTCATTATTCACGCTCTTATGGCCAGTCAAAGCTCATTCTTCACAGTTCTTATCTGTGATGAACACAATGAATGCAGTGTTTTATAATCGATATTTGAAGGCAAATGACAGTAAATGTAGCGAAAACACCAGAGAGCAACATTGTCTGCGGTATTAGAATAACTAGAGCGCAGGAAATGAGTTTCATTCAGTGAAGAGTCGCTCATTTGTGGTGTGAAAATAAGGACAGCGTTCCATCAGAACCGCTTCTGTCTGCAGAACTCTAAAGCGGACAAGAAAAGCTGGTGTGGTTTGTGTGCCGCATTCAGAAATCTGCTCCAGTGATTTGGCATTATCAAGACATTTACTAGAAGATCCCGATGGGTTTGGTGACGAGCAGATCCTCGCAACACATTTCGTGCCAGTCGATGTTCTGGACGATTTGATTGAAACTGATTTCTCTGTTTAATCAGTGCTGTTTCTTCATTATGTAGTCTTTAAAACCGTGAAAATCACCAGGCACCTTGCCACAAACCAAAACCAGCCCAGTCGGACAAAACTACAACAGAGCGCAGAATTCATTTCAGTTTTTCATTTAATGAAGAGAAATGAAGGACGCGCTCACACCTCACATCAGCACACGTTTATGTCCTCTCGTTCTGCTGCACTCAATAAAGCACACGTTTAGACTAAATAAAGTGTGTCTAGATTACATAAAAAATAAAGCATGCATTTAGACTAAATAAAGTTGTCTAGATTACATAAAAAATAAAGCACACATTTAGACTAAATAAAGTGTGTGTCTAGATTACAAAAAAAAAAAAGCATGCTTTAAGACAAAAAAAGTTTGTCTAGATTACATAAAAAATAAAGCATGCATTTAGACTAAATAAAGTGTGTCTAGATTACATAAAAAATAAAGCATGCATTTAGACTAAATAAAGTGTGTCTAGATTAAATAAAAATGAAATAAAGCATATATTTAGACTAAATAAAGTAGTTTTAATGCGGTGTGTGTTTCAGGTACGTCCACTATGTGTTTGACCTGGGGAACGGCCCGTCTCTCATGAAGGGAAACTCGGAGAAGCCGCTCAATGACAATCAGTGGCACAACGTGGTGGTTTCACGCGACACCACCAACGTGCACACGCTCAAGATCGACTCTCGCACCGTGACGCAGCACTCTAACGGAGCCAGGAACCTGGACCTCAAAGGTACGAGCCGCAGGGGGATCAGAGCTCAGCGTGAGCAGATCAGAGTCAGGGTTAAACACAATAACATAGACTTTTACTAGAGTCAGATGGGGTCACCTAAGTAGCAGAAGTTAACTGCAATACTAGTAACATTTCATGGTGCTTGATGTGCTGTTTTTATTTTTGTTGTTGTTGTTGTTAAATGCACTGCAGAAGTGAATTTTTGTCTTGTTTTCCAGTACGAATATTTGTAAAAATAAATAAATCTAGTAAATATATGCATTAGAGTAAATAAAACAAACAAAAAATATCTGAGTATGTTTTACAAGAAAATGTTTCAGTTTTTCTTCTTCAAATTTCCAGTTTAATTCGTATAGAAAATAAATAGATTTCTTTGACCCCACTGGCAGATGCTTCTTTCTTCATTTTGACCACTTTCTCAGAAAACTACACTTTTTTGTAATGTTTTTCTTGGATGTTTAGATATTTGTACACTGAGAATCACCATAATAATTGGGGAACGTTACTTTTAAGAGTAATGCACTACAAAATTGCGTTACTCCCTATAATTGCGTTACTTAGTTACTTTTTGTGGAAAGTAATGTGTTACATTAGTGTCGCGTTACATTTTCTCATCTGGGCTGGGCTCATTTTTCTCTTTTCAGCAATAAAAAAATGAAACACAAATGTTATGCTTATCTAAAATCATTTTTGCTCATTAGTATGGTTAATTTGGATCGTTGAAGGTCAGCAGCAAAGACACTGGTTAATAAGATGAGATTATTCTGAGTTTGCAGAAGTTTGCGTCATATTCTGAGTTTGCGTTTCTCTGTTTTTACTCATTTTGAGGAGTGCTGAATCTGAAATGAGTAAATGCATGTTCTCATTTAGTCTAGATCTACAGTAGCACATAAACATTAAAAAGTACATACAATTAAAAAGTAATGCGTTACTTTACTAGTTACTTGAAAAAAAGTAATCTGATTACGTAACTCACGTGAGTTACGTAAATACTTGTAATGCGTTACCCCCAACACCGATAATGAGGATCTAATTTCATGAAAACAGTGGCAGTAACACATGACTAGATTTACAAATTATTATTCAGCTCCAGTCAAGTAAAAAGAAGAATCTCTGGTTACTGCGCTATTGTGGCTTCATTGTGGTAAATGAGGGACACTCCTGCAGTTTTACTGTCAGGTTAGCTTCCATGAAAGTTTATAGAAAAGCCCAAAGAAATGAGTCGGGCGTTCTGAATGGAGTTTGTTATTTTCACCTGTGTTTTTCAGTTTTAGCCGACTGTTGATTTTTTTTATCTGTTACCCACATGGCTCGTGTTCTGTGCTGTTAAACCCACCTGTGAAGCAAGAGTGACTGTAAAACTGAAGCTCCACAAGCTTTCAGTTCATTTCTCACTCCACATCGCTTGAACATCAATGAGAAAATGATTTAGTGTACACTACTGTGCAAAAGTTTGGGGTCAGTGTTTCTGAAAGCCTCACCAGGGCTGCATTTATTTGATCAAAAATACAGTAAAAACAGTCAAATATTACGTACGCTAATGGTGCTCAGGGCTGTTAGCGTCATGCTGCTTTTCTGGTCTGAGCTCAGAGCATTAGCCGCGTATCAGGCTTTGCAGAATCAGATAGGCCTTTGTCTGTGCGAGTAATTGGTGTGAATAGACGCAGTGGGAGAGTTTAATGCTGTCCCGCTGATGGAGCCGCTTTATCCTCTTTGTATTGGATGCGTGATACCGACGCTCGCGTGCGTTGGCCATCTGTGTGCTGACACGACTTCATATAGTCATCAAACGTGCTCGTATTAATTATCAGCTTCAGCCCCTTCCACTTCATCTCTGTGATGATGAGACGTTTTTACGGTTCAGTTTCTGTGCAGTGAATCTGCTGATCTGTTCATATAAAGAATAATTGATTGTATTTATACAGCAAACATTTGCTAACAGCTTTTATTTCCATCTGCTATATGCATTATGCTCTCATTGTAATGAACTCAGCCTTTATTATCTGTGCTAGTCCAGCGTCACGTGGCGTGCGCAGCAGTATTATTTATATTCCACTATATTCATAGGCGGGACAATTCAATTAAATCTATTACATCTGTTGCAAACAACACTGTGAAGCTGCTTTGACACAATATGTATTGTATAAAGCGCTATAGAAATAAAGGTGACTTGACAGAGTGAAAATTAATGAAAGGTGTCGATTAAGCATTAAATGAGATGTACTCATGTTTTACCATATTTAATATCAGCTGTGACGTGACGAGACTCTGGGAGATCAGCTGTGACGTCAAGTCAAGTCAAGTCACCTTTATTTATATAGCGCTTTTAACAATACAGATTGTGTCAAAGCAACTGAACAGCATTAATTAGGAAAATAAGGACTCTAGCCGCTGCATTTTGGACTACCTGTAGCTTGTTTATTGAAGATGCAGGACAACCAGCTAGCAGTGCATTACAATAGTCCAGTCTAGAGGTCATGAATGCATGAACTAGCTTTTCTGCATCAGAAACAGGTATCATGTTTCGTAACTTGGCAATGTTTCTAAGATGGAAGAATGCCGTTTTTGTAACATGGGAAATATGATTTTCAAAAGACAAGTTGCTATCTAATATAACACCCAGACTTTTGACTGTAGAGGAGGTAACCGTGCATCCGTCTAGTTGCAAATTGTAATCCACGAGATTCGGCGTACTGTCTTTTGGTCCAATAAGTAATATCTCTGTCTTATCCGAATTTAATAGGAGAAAATGATTGGTCATCCA